TTCAGCATTGAGGTATTTTTTGTTTGTTTTGAGTTTTATGAAAGTATTATTTAATTAAAATAATATCACAAATTGGATCTAGATGTAAGATCAATGTTTGATTTTAATTTTATTTATTGGTATTTTAACACCAATAGAATATAAATCTGTGTTAATAATTAGTTAAACGTTTAACTAATTATTAACACAGATTTATATTCTTGATAATGTGTATGAAAATAAATTATTTATTAAACATACAAATAACCTAAAAAAAGTGATTTAGTTTTTTAATAAGAAATTATGGTATATACTAAAATGTAATATTAGTAAAAAAAAAAAAAGTTATAGTTGAACTTTTTATTTTTTTGTTATTGATATTACATTTTAGTATATTATACTCATTATTATATTTTAATATATTTTACTATTTTTCTCAGATCTACTGAAGATAGAAATTGTCTTTATAGTTCAGTATCTTTGATTTTAAATGACAATAATCATACTTCAAAAATTCTAAGATTACTGACATCAATTGAGTTATTTGAAAACATAAATTTTTACACAAGGTATGATTATTTTTGTAGTTATTTTAATCAACATAGATCTGAATATTCTCAGCTTTCTAATTTGTTTTTTATTGCTGTTTCGTTTAAATGCTCTGACAGTTTTTCAACAATTAATGATAACATGATTTCTGAACTTTTGTTAAAAGAAGCGTATTTAAATTGCTTTGATAAAACATTTTCATCTTTCATTTGTCTAATAGCATTATCTAATGTTATAAAGCAACCTATTGAATCTATTTATCCTGAAATCGGTTTTAAAAAGTATCATAGTTTTTTTAATACTCTTATAAAGCCTCGCATCCAAAAATTAAATTGTCCAATAAATATTTTGTGGTGCAATTTAGATAAAACAAAAAACCAAAGTATTTTATGTTTTAAGCCAAATCATTTTGTGGCACTGGTTAAAGATCTTTCTAAAAAACGTCCAGCTGTTGTTATGAGTGATCCAAGTTTACTTAGCATCAAAAAAATAAAAGTTTCTAAGTCTAGTTTTCCACCTACAGATAACAAAATACAGAAACCAATTCAGTCTAAATTATTTTTCCCTACTGTTTCTAAAAACACTTCAGATATAGATAAGTCTAGTTTTTGTAATAAAATAGTAAAAACTGAAGTAGTTATCTCAAAAAATGCCAACAACAATGATAAAAAGCAAATGAATCTTGAATCTTATGTTCCACAAAAGGAAAGCAATATTGTTGACATTAGTTTATTAAATACAAATCAGCTAGCATCTTATTCAAACTATGATGTTTCATCATACTGTCTACAAGGTGAAAAATTAAAATCAGGAACAAATGATCATGAACTTTTATCTCTAATTAATAATGTCTGGGTTCCGGATAAATGTTTCCAATTCCCTTTAACAGGTAAAAGCAGAAAAAGACGTTTTTTGCTAAAATGGCTAGATGATTTTTCTTGGCTTTGTTACTCTAAAATTGAAGATGGTGCATATTGTCTTCCATGTACACTTTTTGGTACAAATTTACCAAACAAATATGCATTATGTAAATTGTTTAAAGAATCATTTAATACCTGGTGTAATGCTGTAAAAGTTTTCAACGATCATGAGAAAACTGTTGACGGATTACACCTCAAGTTCATGCATTGTTATAATATGCTTTTATCTAGAGCTAAAAATAATTCTTTTCCTATTGAAGTTTCTTTAGATAGTTCTAGGAAACAGCGTATAGAAGAAAACAAAAAAAAGCTTGAATCAATTGTTAAGACTATAATATTTTTAGGTCGAAGTGATATGCCTCTACGAGGTCATAGAGACGATAGAAAATATCAAGGAGAAATTGGAGAATCTTCAAAAAATACAGGGCTAGGTAATTTCATTGAGCTTTTAAATTTTAGGGTTGATGCAGGTGATTTAATTTTAAAGGAGCATCTTCTCTCTGCCCCCAAAAATTCCACATATATTTCAAAGACCATTCAAAACGAGTTAATTGAGTGTTGTGGAAATGCAATTGAAGAAGTTTTATTAAATGATATTAAAAAAAGTAAGTACTTTTCCATTATTGCAGACGAGGCTTCAGACTGTGCAACAATAGAACAACTTTCTATTGTCATACGTTATGTTGACTTGAACAGTAATATTAAGGAAGTTTTTTTATGCTTTTTTGAATGTAAAACAGGTACAAGTGGTTTAAGCATAGCTACCAATATTCTTGAAACTTTAAAAGAATTTGGTTTAGATATAAGAAAATGCAGAGGCCAGTCTTATGACGGAGCTGCTTCAATGTCAGGTGAATACAAAGGTGTTTCATCTGTTATAAAAAATGTTAATCCTAAGGCATTATTTGTCCACTGTGCCTCACATAAACTTAGTTTAGTTGTTGGGCAGAGTTGCCAAATCCAGCAAGTAAAAAATTTGCTTGAGCAAGTTAAAGACATAACTTATTTTTTTTAACTTTTCTCCAAAAAGAAGTAATTGCTTAAAGAAATACCTTCTTCTTGGTCAAGCAAAACTTATTGACACATGTCGAACTCGGTGGGTACAAAAGCTTCGTGGACTTGATGTGTTTTTCGATAATTATTCTGCAGTTTTTTCTGCTTTTGAAGAAATGGAAGACAATAATTTAAAAGAGTACAATAAAGAAACATCTTCAAAAGCATCTTCTTTTATGAAGTTATTGACAAATTTTTCTTTTATAGTTTCTTTAGTTTTAACTAAACAACTAATGGATTACTTTTATGGAATTTCTGTTACTCTTCAAACTAAATCTTTTGATATTTCCCAGCAACTGGATGAAATTCAGAATTTGACTAATCGTTAAAGAGAAATGCAAAGAAATGCTGATGCTTACCATAATAAATGGTATAAAATTGCTCTTGCATTGGCTAAAACATTTGATATTGATGAAAAAAAACCTAGAACATGTGGTGTTCAGAAGCATAGAGATAATCAAATATGTGATACTGTATCTGATTATTTTAAAGTTTCTATTACATTGCCTCTTCTCAATCACCTTCACAATGAACTAGAAAATAGGTTTGATATTGAGAGCTTAATTGTTTATAATGGTCTATGTGCTATTCCTGCTAGTTTAACAAAGCAATATTTTAGATCTTGTCCATGGAAAGAAAAATTCCTAATTTTTTTGAATTTTTATAAATCTGATCTTCCTCATTTCTCATCAATTAATGCTGAATTAGAGTTATGGGAGGAATTTTGGAACGAAAAGACAGAATTACCATCTACTATTTCAGATACATTAAAGTTTATGGATACGAGAGGCTTTCCAAACATTTTAGAGGCTTTTCATATACTTGCTACAATACCAATCAGAACTTGTGAGTGTGAAAGGTCAATATCTACTCTTAGGAGAATAAAAACTTACACTAGGAGTACTGTGTCAGAAAATAGATTGAATGGGCTTGCTTTAATGTCTATTCATCAGGAAATAGTTCCTGATATTAACAGAGTTATTGAAATATTTGCATCCAAAGGAGATAGAAAATTAGAGTTTTTATTCAAATAAAAGTTTTGAAGTTATGTTTAAAGTATTAACTATTGTTTTAAAAGTATCTCTTAAATATAAATAATTTTTCAAAAGCAAAATATTTCTACTCATTGTTTTAAACATGTAAATTGTGAAAATCATTTTTCATTAGCAAATTATTATTATTCATTGTTTTATATAAACTGTGAAACTCAATACTTCATTTGCTATTTCAATTAATTCCTAATGTTGAGAGCGTTTTCAGGTGATTTAGGTTGTTACTTCTTTAGTTGTTACTTTATTTGTTGTATTATATTTTTTCTTGTTTATTTATTTATTAAAAAATAAAAGTAAAAAAAGTTATAAAAATATTTAAAATATTTGTGCATAACTGCCTATCAAAAAAAAAAAAAAAAAAAAAAGAATCCAGAAATGGAGGGCTAACCTTAAATAAGATTACTAATACTTAAGTTAAACTGTTTATTAAGAAAAGGAAATAATCCATAAATAGAGGAGTAACTTTAGGAAACAATAATAATAATTAACTTAAATTGCCTATCAAAAAAAGGGAAGAACCAGAAATTGAGGGCTAACCTTAGGCAACATTACTAATACTTTACTTAATCTGCCTATCAAGAAAAGGAAAGAATCCAGAAATGGAGGGCTAACCTTAGGCAACATTACTAATACTTTACTTAATCTGCCTATCAAGAAAAGGAAAGAATCCAGAAATGGAGGGCTAACCTTAGGCAACATTACTAATACTTTACTTAATCTGCCTATCAAGAAAAGGAAAGAATCCAGAAATGGAGGGCTAACCTTAGGCAACATTACTAATACTTTACTTAAACTGCCTATCAAGAAAAGGAAAGAATCCAGAAATGGAGGGCTAACCTTAGGCAACATGACAGTTTACTGATGGAGTGCAAAGTCCTATGGCTTACCTTCTCGTTGGTGCACTTCGTTAAGTGAGTTAGACAAGTATTATGTCTAATTTATGAACTAAATAGCCAAGGCAACAATTTAAATAACTTTATTGTTAAATAGGTAACTAAAAACAGAAAAAATCATGACATTAATAGGGTGATGTCACCCCTTCTTTCTCAACTGAAAATATAAAATTGTATCTGGGAATTTTAGATATAGTTTAAAGTTAACAAATGTAAAAAATTGAGGCTTATTTATTTTTTTGTTCAAGGCACTTTACTCCCCCCCCCCCCCCTCAATCTCTTCCTATCACTTATTTAAAAAAAAAAAATAGCTCTTCGCGCCGTCCGCGAACCCAGATTTGGCCATATAGTTACAAAATCCTGGATCCGCCCCTGTATATATATATATATATATATATATATATATATATATATATATATATATATATATATATATATATATATATACATACATATACTTGGCATAGAAGGAAAACAATACAATATACCTTTATAGCTACTTTAACTTTTTATTTTTTTTATTTTTTACTAACTAACCACATCATAAACAATTCCTAATTTAAATAAAATTTTCGAGCTTTTTTCGAGGCAAAATTAGAAATTAATTCATCATATGACAATGATTTCGCGAGATCATTTTCAATAGACAACGCCATAAGATTTGAAAATCGCTCTTGTCTCATGGTGGCTCTGAAGTGGTTTTTTATAATCTTTAGTTTACTAAAAGATCTTTCACCCTCTGCAACGGATACTGGCATTGTGTGGAAGATGCACAAAAGTATGCATATCGACGAGAAAATTGGTTGTAAGCCTTTGGAATATATTTGATTTAAAAGATTGAGAGAGTTGCTTTTACTGAACAAGGACGATGCTTTCAACCGGTCAAAGTGGCAAATTTCCTCAATAAGATCGTCTTCTTTAACGTCATTTGAATAGAATTTCGCAAGTTGACGAGCTTTGTCATCTTGTGAAGAAGGGTCTTCAAACTGAAGCCAGATAAAGGAAAACTGAGAAGAAACCTTTTTTACCACATTGAACCTTGACTGAATTTGTAGAATTATGTGGTCCAATGCCACGTTGAAAATATTTACTTCAAAATTCTTTTCTGTATTGTCGTGGTAGTGGGCTGTATTTGATGGTTCCTCGTAGAATTTTTTCACTCCTCTTGTGCGTTTTACTCTAAATTCTGTTTCAAAGCCTAGGTTTCCAGCCACTAGCTTTGCTTCAGTCAAAATACAATTCCACGACGAACGAATGCGACCTAGGTCATCTAGAAGTAGTTGAATGAGGATGACTTCTTCTTCGATGGCGATTGACTCCGACTGGAGACATCGACTAACATTATCAATATTTTGCAGTGTCTTATACCAAATGGTCAAAAGAACTACTGATTCAAATGACTTAAAATATTTTCCTAACGATTTCGTTTGATTCAACATGTCCGCAGTTTGGTCAAGTTGATTAACGGTTCTATCCAGAGCAGCAATGATTTCTCGTGGTTTTTTCACTAATGGTTTTACAGCTGCTATGTGGGCTGACTATCTAGTATCTGAGAGATTGTGAAGTGATAAAGCAGTCTCTTCGTGAAGAATTTTCCATCTTGCTGGGCTGCAACTAAAGAACACGTAGAGGGCTTGGATATTGCCAAAAAACGTTTTGATCTCAGCGCAAGTCTCAGCAGCATGAACTCCAGCTAAATTTAAACTATGAGCACCGCAAGGAATTTATAAAGCGAACGGATTTTTTTCCAGTATATGAGCTTGGGCTCCATTATAGATTCCAGCCATGTTAGAACAATTTTCGTACCCTTGGCCTCTCAATTTTTGTAAATCGAGATTCACTTTCGCTAAAACGTTGCAAATTAAATAAGCAATATTTGCACCTTTCTTTTTTTCCATATCTTCAACGCAGAGAAATCGTTCTTTAACTTCCCAAATCATCTTACCCGAGTTGAATCTCACAAATCGAAGAACAAACGTGATTTGTTCGGTGTGAGATACATCTGGGGTCCCATCGGTAATTATCTTAAAATATACGGCATCTTTTACTTCTTTCACAACTGCTGCTTGAACTAATGTAGCGCATTCACTGATGAATTCGTTTTGTGATTGCCAGGAGAGATAGTGAGCTTGCATTCTGGCTCCTTTATTTTGATGACGAGCAACTGTTTCAAGATGATTCTTTAATGTTTCGTTGTGACGAGAAATAAGTTCAAGGCAACTTAAAAAGTTCCCTTTCTCGTTCTTCTCCATTGACGAATATTGCCCTAAAAAAATCTTTTCTAAGTTAGTTAAATGTAGATAATAGAAATTCTGTAATACTAAAATTGCATCTAAAATACAACGAAGTATTTCACGCCATCTGGCTACTTCCTGTTCTAGTGCCTTTTGAAACTCTGAGTCGATCCCGCGCTGATCGACAAGAGCTGAGTGCAAAGTCTTCCAATTGAGATAATGACTTTGATGAACTGGGTTGCTATCATGACTTTTGATACGATCATTCAATTTTCTCCAGTCATTTTTTATTCCTCCAATCCAGCGAAGAAGAAGAGATCGATCCCCATAAGATCCGGAATTTTCACACCCAAATAAAGAACACGGGAAACAAAATAGAGAGTTAGACGATGGGCTCCATATCAGATAATCTCGTTGAACTTTTTCTCCATTAGGCAATGCAATGAAAAGAACTTCTTTTGGAAAGGCCCTGTTATTAGAAGCATCTCGTGGGAAATTATCAGGTAAAGTTGACGGACCTTTTTAGATTAACTCTTCTTTTTCTCTTTGATGGCCAGAGTGCTGGGTCATTTTCAACGCCTGAATTTAAAAAAATTAATTAAAACCTAATACTTAATTAATTATTTAACTATTTTGAATTATTGTTTGTATAAAAACCATTATTTTCTTCGGGTTTTAATTCATCGTTAAAACTGTCGTCTGTTTCATTTTCCACTGAACCAAGAGAATGTAGATCAACATCATCACAATACGATGATTTCATTGTTTGTTCTGATTTATTTAATTCCGCCGACTTAAAAAATGTTTAATTATTTTTCTTAAATTGCTTCGGAAATAAAGGAATATATTTACTGACCTATATATTTCTACTAACTCATCTTCAAATCAGTATTTTGATTAGTAGCTTTGTAAAACCAACCTAATTCTCGGAGCGTTTGTTTATTTTTTTCAGTCTTTTGCCCTTTTGGAAGCCAATGCCCGATTTTGGGCATTAGAAAGTTTTTTACGATTCATTATCGACAGTTACTGTAAATAACAGTACGCATCAATAAAATAATAGCCAAGTCAAATACGCAAACTCATCAAAATATAATAAACTCAAAAAGCTAATGTCATAAATCACTATTTCAATAATTAAATATAAATAAATCGTAAACATGAAATACCATAAATAAGTCGATCATAACGAATAGTTGAAAAATAATTACTATTACTTTCTAAATTCTGAATAAAATTATTTCTAAATTGTATTCACAGTTTGCTATTGCTAATTATCAACGTTTGTGTTTTTTTTTTTACTTTAGTCTGATGAATGCAAAAATCTCAAGGGACATTTTTAATTTAAAAGCGTATAGAATACGAAATCAATGATGAGTTCGTATTTTTTCAAAACTTTTCGAGGAATAAAAAACAATGATATAACGCGAGTAATATAAACATTTTAATTATAGAATTTTAAGAATAAAAAAACTATTTCATTTTACTTCGGCATCTAGCGCCCCATGGACATCTGCCGCCCGCGACAAACTGTCCTGGTGCCCCCCCCCCTCTCAGCGGCCCTGGCAACAGCTGTCTTGATAACTTCACAATTAGCACGTATAACCCCAAATTAAAACTGTACTAAATATGTATCCGCTCTAAATAATAAAGCCCGATCGACCTTTTTATTTACACGTTACTAGAAAATTAAGGAGTTGTTTTTTTAGACTGAAAATTTTCATCATTTTAAAATTGAAAAACGTTTTTGTTACTTTTTAATAAACCTTGTTGAAAGAACTCAAAATTAGTTATGAACCATGGTTTTTAATGGTTAATGGTTTTGTTAATAAAGCCACGCTAATATATTATAAACGGAAAAAAAAATCAAAAAAAAAGAATTTCATAAATTCAAATATTTAATTTTTTTCTTTTAAATCTTTTCTTCTCAAAATTCTTCTTAAGTCGAATTGGGCTAGAAACCATTCCTTTTGAGTCGCTGTTCTTTCATTATAAGATTTCAATACATAACTATTTTCTTCTGGTGGGTTTTTATTATGAAGAAGTAACGCTGCACGGGCTGCTTTAATTCTTTGTCTTAGGCTATATGGTCGATATTTTAAAGCCTTTTTTTTTTTTTCAGCAGAATAAGATAAAGTTTCTTTTTTAGATGGTAAGTCGGATTTTTCACTAATAATTACTTCGCTTTGACAGTTAGAAAACTCTGTTGGTTGAGTGATAACTTTTTTTAGTGATTCCTCTTCAAATACATTTTTTTCATTGTTTTCAAAATCTGTCACACTAGATTTTTCTTTTTTTCCTTCTTCATCGATCTTTGACTCGTTTGCGTCTGTCATAGAATGTTTCATTTTGTTTAATTCATTTTTGTAATAAAAGTGGTAATAATCCATCGCACGATAAAACCTTGCGTTACGAGAATCAAAATAATCGAGACAATTATTTTGATAAATTTGTTCTTTAAATGAAAACGGCATTATTGACACTCCATTATATATATTATAATCAAATTCAGCGGGTTTTAACGAGGAATGATAGTCATTAAAAAATCGATTACTATACAAAACCTTTGAATTCTTGGCATAACATTCCTCATAAGAAGCATTATTGCAAGTAGACTCATTTTCTTCGTAAAACTGAAGTTCCGCATGCTTTTTTTTATTGTTTGATCCATCATTTTGTGTGCGTTCATTTGACTCATTTAGAGGTTTACACTCCTGTGTTCCATTACTAAGAAAGATGCTAGTACCTATTTGCTTAGACGTTGTATTTTCTTTAAGTTTGTTAGACCACTCACTAATGTTTGGTGTTTTTCTTTTTAGACAGATATTTTCTTCGTACTCTGTTTTCCCGTGGTTTTCATTTTTGCTTTCTTCAGATATATTAGGTTGGTTTACAACTTGATAGCAATTTTTTAAGGAAGTTTCTACCAAAGTAGGTTTTACAATTTCTTCTTTCTTTGAGTTAAAAATATTGTAACTTTCAACACGTATATTAAGTAAGTTACGCTTTGCATTTTCGTATAGCTCCGTGAAACTAAACAGAAAAAAAAGTTAATGTCTAATATATATATATATATATATATATATATATATATATATATATATATATATATATATATATATATATATATATATATATATATATATATATATATATATATATATATATATATATATATATATATATATATATATATATATATATATATATATATATATATATATATATAAATATATTTAAAATCATAATTGTCGCCCTTATTTATCAAAGATATTTCAAAAAATTATCTTTTTTTTTTTTGAAAGGCCTCTAGTGCTAAAATATTAAAATTTATAATTAGTGTAATTTTTGTAAAATTAAAAGAAGAAAATATTTCGTTTATTGTTTATTTTGTTGACTACCTTTTTTTACTTATTGATTATAAACATATTTCTGTGTTTGATCAATAAAGACTTATTAGAAACGCTTTTATTGATGAAACACAGTATTAAATAAAATATTTCTGTTAAGTGATTTTCTATATATATACAGTGCCGCTGAGAGGTGAGGTGAGGAGGTAGAGGGCTAGAAGGTACTTATAATAAAAAAAAAAGGCCTTCATCTATAATATAGCGAAAATTTTGATAAATAAGGGCAACAATTATGATTGCTGTTCCATGCAGCGTGACGGCATGCTGCGTGACGGCTCTCGGCGGCCCTCTCTCTGTGTCTCTCTGTCTCTCTCTCTCTCTCTCTCTCTCTCTCTCTCTCTATATATATATATATATATATATATATATATATATATATATATATATATATATATATATATATATATTATTTATTATAAATAATTAGTAAAAGACACTAAAAAATTATCTAAGCTACTGTCATTTAGTATTAGTAATGTTTTTTAGTACCTTTAACGTATCTTTTATTTTCTCCCAACATTTAAAAATTGATTTAGAACAAAGCACATCGGGTCGCAAATTATAATGCTCAAATATATACTTAAAAAGCAGCTAAAACTCAGTCAAAGGGTCAGACAAAGTTTTCGGCACAAAAAAATTTTTAGCCTGTGTTTTTATATATTGGTTGAAATTCTGGTCAGTTTTTTAATTTAATTTACTGACGTAGTATTTGTTATTTATAGAGTTGATTGCGCATTATGCGCAAGAATGGTGGTACATAAAAGAACTTCAAGTAAACTCTTAAAAAAAACATTTCAAAGTGATTTCTTTTTCTTCGTTTTTTAAAGATATTTCTTTGATATATGTATATTTATTTTTTTGTACTTTTATCTTGTAGAAATAATTTTACCTTGTAAAAATAATGATAGTTAATCATACTTAAAAAAGTTTTTCTTTTTTAAATAATTAATAAATCGTTTCCTATAATATATAATATATATATATATATATATATATATATATATATATATATATATATATATATATATATAGAGAGAGAGAGAGAGAGAGAGAGAGATACAGATAGACACACACACACACACACACACACACACACACACACACACACACACACACACACATTAAAATACAGTATTCTTACTTTGCATGTTCTTGTTTTTCATCCGTTGCGTAACGTCTTTCGGAAATCAACTTTGGTTTTTTAAAAATATACGAATCGCAATTTTGTTTTGAGGCTTTTAATTCTGTTGAAGATAAAATGGGATAACCTGTCTCATCTTTACAATAGTCAGTTTCTTTAGTTTTATCTGATATAATTGTCCCATTTAGTTTCGCGTCAGAACAATCAAGGTACTCCTGCTTTATATTAATTTCATTACAAACATTTATTGTAGATGGCTTATAAATAGATGAATTTGACGTTATGGAAACGTTTGAAAGTGAATGTGGAACAGTTTTTCTAATACTAGCCTCAAGAAGATCTTTAGGAACTTTAGGTGTTAATGAAGAGTTTGATTTTCCGTTACTTAATTGAGTGTTAAATTCAGATTTTGTTGGACTTACATAAGACGGCAAAAAACTAGACGACGACGTAGTTGTAACTGAGTAAGATTGAGAGTTGTATTTTTTTATTTCGTTATCCTTCGGAAGCTTTTTAACAGATGAAAAACTAGAGAGTAGCCCTTTCACATCAGGAGCAAATTTTTTTACTTTTATGCTGTTGTTTATTTTTAAATAAGAACTCGATGTTTTTTCGTTGCCAGATGTTGTCTCCACAATATTTTGTTGAGAGGTAGCTTGTGAAACCTCTGTACTAACAGAAGATAAACTTGAAATAAATTCTTTAGTCGATATAAATAAATCACTTTGCTTTTTCAATGAAGTATTTACATCTACGTTATTTCTTTCTCCAAGTTTTGAATGAGAGGTATAGAAGAGAGATGTTCCATTTTTTGGTTGCAAGTGAGGTATGTCAAAAAGATTCGGTGTTCTGCCGAATAGCGTTGGATTCATCAATGAAGCTTTGTTTTCGATATTATATTTCACAGGATGCATCGTTATTAACGGTGGTAAATTTCTGTTTGGGGCACTATTCATCTTTATTTGAAAAAGAAAAATCAAATACAGCTTACACGAGTTTAATGAACTTCGTAAAAAAACCAACGATGTTTATAGGAGTTATGCAGCAAATTTGTTCTGAAGAGAGCTAACTCGATTAAACAAATTATTCAAAAGAGAGTAACATTTAAGTCTTGAACATTCAGCTTTTTTTATTAAGGTTTTAAAAAATTTAAAAATTAGCTGAAAATGAGCTAGAGTGTGAGCACCTAAAATATATTAATAGATTTTGCTCGATTTTTCAATTTTATTTATAGAACTCTTGTTTACTTTAATAATAAAAATAATTTTAACTGTTAAGAAATTTTTTTAATAAAATATTGAAATGCTCACGATTTTAAAAAGTTATTTAAAAACATCGCTAATGAATAACTTTGTTGATACATATCCATCATCGTTAATGAATATCTTTGTTGATACATCTCCATCATCGCTAATGAATATCTTTGTCGATGGATCTCCGAATTATAAATTTGGAAAGACATTGGAAAAAATGAAACAAATTGCAAAAAATATTTATTCAAATAAATTAAATGCTACAATGCGATCATTACCGACGAATTTAAATAAATGTAACAAAATATTATGCGCAAGATTACCAAAGAATTCAAATAACGACGACTATCTAAATAATTGTTGTTTCCTGGTCTTTTTATCCTCATTAATATCTTATTAATATTAACTTATTAAAGTACTGTTACAAGTCAAACCATAGTTCTTCTACAATTCTAATCCCATAGTTTTATCAAGCCATCCCAACCGCAAGTAGAAATTTTCGACGTTTCTTGAGGGAGCCATTCGCAACCGATGCACACTTGATCATGCGCCTTAAATTTGCTAAAACAAAAAAGTTCTTATAAGCAATATTGCAATGCAATATTGTAAAGTTATATGCTAATGTTCTAATGTTATACGCTACTGTTGTAATGCTACAGGCTGTTGCTAAGTTATAAGCTTATGTTTAAAAGCAATAAGCTACTGCAATGCTATCCGCTTATGTTGCAAAGCTATACTCAAATATTATAATGCTGTACTCAAAAAGTATTGGAATGTCTTACACTAATACACTTTAACTATACTTTTAACTTAGGAGTATAATTTAGTTGTCTTCCAGTCCCATATATTAACATTTCTATCAGCATCGCCAGAAACAAGATAACTTAAACAAAACAAAAAAGCGTAAAAAAATGATTTCAAATCATAAAAAAATTATTTACTTTTAATCATGAAACAATCGCACAGAAGTAGTTAATTAAACTTATAAAAATTTAACTTTATAATTTCTTGAATAAAAATTTATATATAAATATAAATATATATATATATATATATATATATATATATATATATATATATATATATATATATATATATATATATATACATATATATATATATATATATATATATATATATATATATATATATATATATATATATATATATATATATATATATATATATATATATATATATATATATATATATATATATATATATATATATATATATATATAAATTTTAACCATATCAAAAATATTTTTATTTTTTGATACGGTTTTAAATAGCTATTGTAAATTCCTCCGTTATTTCAAAACCGGTTTAATTAAGCACTACATTTTCAGAATACAGCAAATAGAGATTAAAAAAAAAGGTATTTATTTCATATTTTCAATTTAGTGCTTTGAATGTAACTTTCTTTTTCTTTTAAAGCATTTATCGAAATATATTATATTTAACTTTTTGATCAAATAATTTGAATATATTACATACTTAATGACTACAGTCATATTTTACTATGAGCTGTTAAAAGATACAAATGTGACTTTTTTCGATGAAATGTAGCAAAATTACCTAAATGGGTGATGTGGGTCTATTGAACAAAACTCAAATCTACGTTCCTTAGACAAATTTAAAAATTATATATATAAACTTTTTTTGATGGAATATAACATAAAATGGTACCTTCATTCTTAACAAATGAAAAATAATATTGAATGGTAACTCTGTGTGTGTGTGTGTGTGTGTGTGTGTGTGTGTGTGTGTGTGTGTGTGTGTGTGTGTGTGTGTGTTTGTATATATATAACATGTGATAACTAAAAATCTGGACAAAATTAGAAATTTTTAACGGAATGATCAATATTAATAATTTAAAAAGTATAATAACAAAAAATATCTAAATAACAAAATTTAAAAAAATTATAAGTTTTACATGCCGTGACAACGAACGGTGTCTACTCTTGATAATGTTGTGGCAGCTAGCCGATGTACACGTTCTATGTTGATTCTCTGTATTAAAAACTCAATCCACTTTTTAAGTTTACCTAGATTTTCAGCTTGTCAGTTTTTATTATACACTAATCTCTTAAGTTCAGACCAAAAATCTTTAATTGGACGTAATTCTGGCATATTAGCAGGGATATGCTCTTTCGTTACAAGTTCAATATTTTTAACTTTTAGATAACCTTGCACTTTACGCAAATAATGTGACGAAGATAGACAATATTGTCATTTTTATCATGTTTTTCAATGAATTTTTCTAATCTAACAAGACATTTTGAAATATACACATTTTCATTGACTGCTTAGCCTGACCGAGCAATAAACAGCTGAGAGATTCCTTTCGTCGAGAATGCAATCCAAACAAGTAATTTGGGCTCAAATTTGTATATATAGGTCTGAAGAGTAGAATCCAGTATTTCCAGAAATATTGGTGTTGCTCAAATATTGGTGTTGTCCTTCATCTTCGGCTTCATCTCTCTCTCTCTCTCTCTCTCTCTCTATATATATATATATATATATATATATATATATATATATATATATATATATATATATATATATAATTATTATTATTATTATTTTTATTAAATTGTGTTCTGTTGAATTTAATGCAGCTCTTTGTCGGTTTAAGAGTGATCGATATTTATAAAATAGATCAAAATATATTAAATGAAAAAAATACGACTTTTTTATGGGACTTCAAGTTTCATTCCATTCGGTAATCATTCAGTCATATTTTTAAAATCATTAAAATAATCAAAATAAATAAATAAATATATATATATATATATATATATATATATATATATATATATATATATATATATATATATATATATATATATATATATATATATATATATATATGCATGCATACTTTGATAAGCTGTCTGATTTCATACTGAGAAAAGAGAGCTAATGTTGGATTTAAAAAACTTATCGACTGACTAAAAAGGAAGATGATGCAAGAAGCACTGCTAAATTGACTAAAGGTTTAGGTTGGGGTAGCAATTTTTTTTTTATTACTCTTTATTTTTTTCTCATTTTACAAAAAAAACTGTATAGACAAAAGTCAGCAAAATTATGTATTCACTATAGTAAATATATAACATCTGATACCTAGAAATCCGGACAAAAGTTTGGTTGACAAATTATTTAAGGAGTGTTGCAAAATTGTTGCAACTTATGTTATGTTGTAGTAAATTTAATTATCTACAAATTGCAATATATCTTTTAGCAAACAATTATTTATAACAGCAAAGAAAATTATCTCAAAACAGGAAGACCTCAGAAAGCACGTGTATGCATTAATCAATTTGCATCTGGATATGAAGAAAAGTGAGAATGTGAGACACTTCATGATCAAAGCGCATCAAGGTCAACCCTGTATGATATTTTGCAGCGCAAGATGCTCAAAATAGGCCCTAAAAGACAGCGTGAAACTGGACGGTGGCAATCAACATGAACACAAAGTGAATCACCATTCTGAAAAAGCGAATCGATCATATTGACGGAGTTAGCCAGTGTCAGCAAGCCCGCGAGTATGGTGCCAGTCTAAAGCACATATCAAAACAATCAGCACCAAGACAACAATCAAATACAAAAAGTAGAAAAAAGTTCCGGATTGAACTCCGCAACAGAAATCAGCCGTTCGTCCAAAGTGTGCCCACCTGGCCAGAGTTTTCCGGAAATAGAAGGTGATCATCGAAGACGAGTCCTATTTTTCGTTGAGCAATAACGAGCTATCTGAAAACGCTGGTTTCTACACGTCTGACGTCGAAATGACTCCAGAAGCTGTTAATCTCAAGCGCAAGTCTAAGTTCGAGCCAAAGGTACTTGTTTGGATTGCTATGTCCGAGGATGGCCTGTCGAAGCACCTGGTGACACCTTCGGGCCAAGATGTCTACATCCAGAAGTGCTTGATGAAGCTCTTGATTCCGTTCGTTGAAACAGTTCATAAGGACGGTGAGATTGTTTTCTGACCTGACCTCGCTACGTCTCATTACGCAAAAATGACCCAGGAGTTCCTCCAAGCGAATAACATCGAATTAGTGCCTATAAAGCGCAACCCTGCCAATGTGCCAGAACTCCAACCAATCGAAGACTTTTGGTCAGAACTCAAACAAAGAGGATATGATTGTGGCTGGAGAGCAAAAACCGTGGACCAACTCACTGACAGGATCAACTATTGCATAAAACGGATCAGTCAAGATTGCGTACATCGACTTGGCAAGGCTTCTTTCAGCCGATTGGACAAAGTTCGCAGAAACAGCATGATATTATAATATTTTTAAATCTGAAGTTTCATATGCTTAACTTTAATTATCTTTTTACAGAAATAAAATTGCACCTTTAGTTTCAAAATTAAATAAAATTTTCTTTATGGTTTTTGCAACAAACACTCAACAACTCGTTCATTAATAGAAATAACTGAGAAAGTTAGATATGACATTGATAATAAACACTTTGCATGTGGAATGTTTATTGACATAAAAAAGCATCTGATACAGTTGAGCACACAATCCTCCTAGAAAAACTGCAACACTATGCTATTCGAGGCATTCCTTTTCTCTGGTTTTCCATTTTATCTTTGTAATAGAACGCAATTTGATTTAATGCTATCAATGGTTAATGTTTTTTTAATTATTATTTGTGATTAAGCATTGAAAAGAGATAACAATAAAAAAAGTAACAAAGATCAATTATAATCAAAATAAACAATAAGCTTTCAACCCTGACTGTTAGTGATATCATTAAAAGTTATTTGACAATTTAGATTTACAAAATATTTAAGCAATAATTCACCTTAATCTTACAATCCATACTTGAAGACAAGAGCAAGTGTCCAGATTTTGGAAAAAGACGGATTGGGGTAACCCCTTTTGAATGACCTGACCTATAAATAAACTCTAATTTCAAATTAAGTAAACTGAAACTTTACAAAAACACATTTTTTTATTGTGCATATTAAAAAAAAATTCAGTGCTAAGGTTAGAGCAATTCAAAACAAAAGCAATAAAAAAGCACACAAAACAAAACAAAACAAAAAAAAAAAAAAGCATAAGAAATAAAAAATAAAAAATAAGTAAATGAAAAAGACCATGTATGAACAAGTTTTTTTGGAAGAAAACACTTTTCTGGTGGTTCATCTTTCTTTAAGTCAACATCCACATCAACAGGAATATGCAAGAAAGATCGGCCTTGATAATCATAAAAGTCGTCAACTATAATAGAAATAAAAATAATTGTAAACATTTTACAATTTAAAATTTCAAATTAATTATGATTTTAGTAACTCTAATATTTTTACGTACTTTATGCTTGATTTCTCTTCAATTTTCTCATCATTTTTTTTGATTTTTTTCTATATTTTCTTAATTTTATTTTACTGACTCAAATCTAAATATATATAAAAAATGTTAAAAAGTTTTAAATAAAAATATCTTATTTAAAAAATAAACAATACCTCGATTTTCAACCACTTTTGCATTTGCTCTAACATAACTAAATATAATAATTTGCTGATTGAAAACAAACTCTTTTA